AAATGCTTTAAAGACTTAAAGCCACTATTCATATCCAAACAATTGCTTGCCACTAAAGATAATTTATTATTAAAAATAATAATTTATATATATATATATATATATATATTTCTCTTCTTCCTCTACCATGACCAGATGACATGATCCTTTGATCAGACCATAATGGCTGGCCATGCCACCACTATTTTGTTGAATTGAATGTTGTTGCAGTGGATGGGGATTCGGACGAGTTTGCCATTACCATCCTTATCGGAAGTATTTTGGCAAATACTGGTGTATTTTATTATAGAGGATTTTTCAAATTATTGGATCCACCGGATGCTCCATACAAATTGGGCCTACAAAAAGATCCATCGGGTCCACCACGAATACACTGCTCCAATTGGGCTTGCAGCACCGTATTCCCATTGGGCTGAGACTTTGATTCTGGGCATTCCATCATTTCTCGGCCCAGCATTGGTTCCGGGGCATGTTGTCACGTTCTGGTTGTGGTTCATTTTGCGGCAATTGGAGTCCATTGAGACTCATAGCGGGTAAGCAAGTTAACCTTTTTTTCCTTTTGGGATATTTTGGAAAAAGCCAAAGGAGAGAGAAATATTGTGAAAAGAAGCCAAAATGGACAAAAATGCCCTTATTTATTTTTGGATTTCCTAAGGAATCCTTTACATTTGCATGTCTTTGGTTTGAAAGTTAAGGGGTTTTTCTGTCTTTTTATGGAAAATTTTTGGCTTTTTCCAAAAATGAAAGTTTTTCAGTTGTTGATAAAACCTAAATTTACTCTTTCATTTATACTAGTGGCTAGAGCAGTTATTTTCACACCTAAATCTCTATGCTCAATAGGGCATGTTATTAGATCCTAATGCAGTATACCGAAAACTGAACAATAATTCGAATCAATGTACATGGATATATATTAACGTACGCATGTATACGGTACAGGTACTTGTTGCCTTGGACACCAACAAAATACATCCCATTTTATGGTGGTGCAGAGTTCCACGACTACCACCACTTTGTTGGGGAGCATAGTAAAAGCAACTTTGCATCGATTTTCACTTATTGTGATTACATCTATGGAACCAATAAGGTTAAAGATGATTTCTTTCTTTCATGTTTAGCTTTTACTCTCATCTAATTTTGTTTAATTTGAAAATAAAACAGTTAAAATTGTGTAGCACTAACGCAACAATTGTGTAAATCTTCAGGGATATCGATCTCACAAGCAAGTCCTTGAGAAGGCAAAAAGTCTCTAAGACCCTTCTGCATCAAAGTGATTGTAATTCTGTTTGTAAAATAAATGTTGGTGGTATTTTGCCATGAAACTTTTTACATATTATAAGCTACAACAGTGGAGATGTAACCTATATTTTATATCAATAAAGCATCTCTTTCTCTCTCTCTCTCTCTCTCTCTCTCTCTCTATATATATATATATATATATATATTTCAAATAGCCTGATGAGAATTGATTTTCCAAAGTTTACAGGGAAGGGAAAAAAAGCTAAAATGAAATTAGAACTTTCGGTGTAAAAGCACTTCCTGTACATGAAAACGAAAACTCAAACCAATCAATTGGTCCAGTTTCCTTATGCAACATTAATTTATCATCACCAAAATCTCTGAAATCCAAGTGTACCAGTGAAACAACACTTTTCTTTTTCCTTTTTTTTTTCTTCTCAGTATGAATGCTCTAACAACTTCAACGATCTACCTTTCAACTGCCACGAGAAGAAGCTTTCATGAAGTTGTTAGAACTACTTAACCTAGGGCCTAGAACTTAAGAAACATTTCTTGTGCACGTTGGCAACCAGGTCAGATCAGCTCCTTCGTGCCTCGCATGAGCTCCTTACGCGCCTACAAAATTCCTTTATGGTGCAGGGAGAGATGGAGCCGCCCACAGTTCTTACCTTCTTATCGATACTTGATGTGGCCAAAACCAATACTTTCTCATTACAACACATTGTTATTATCTTCGAGAAGCAACAATGAAAATAAATCATTCCAGCCAGATTGTATTTAATTGGATAGCCTTGATTATTTAATCTCTCCAAGTTCCAACGAATCAACAATCTTTCATTCTGCCAAACTCGTCAACAGTGGACTGGTAAAGACGTATAAAACCTACTTAGAAGACAACTTAAAACATTTAAGAGAAGTGTTTTACCCATTGGAATCGTCTTGGGTGCAGTCTTGAGACAAGAACATCCCCTTGGAGAAGGGGGATGTGGTGTGGTCCCTGTGGTGGAGGCATGGTCCACCTGCAATTGAAGTAAAAATCGTACCAAACTATGCCTAACCTAACACCAACTTTTAAAGCTTGAACAAGCCACACTAATCTTTTCATTGAATATAAAAGTGTCACTAACATACCACCACAGTAACTTCTACATGAGTTGATGGTGGTGGGCTGCAAAAATTACACAACGGTTGATTTTGTTTTGTTGGGGTTTCTAGATTGAGGGATAATATGCTAGCAACCTCATTTTCTTCACCTTCTTCTCCTCATCCATAACGTGGTTCGGTAATCGAAATAACTCATTTTTAGATCATTATCCAAGAATCATTCTTATAAACTAAACAAATTTTCATTTGATTAACATTATCATAATTTTAGTATTTAATCGAAATATTGCATTCTGCTATCTATTTTATAACAATTAGATGACTAAATCACTTCCAATTTGTTAAAAAAATTTACACCTATAACCTTTAAAGCGTGACCTAGAAAATGAATGGTTCATAAATCACATTGTACAAGAGAAGGTGAAAGAGGAAGGTACAGTTAGCATTCATCTTGAGTATATTTTAATTGTGTGTGGTACATGAGTATTAATTGATTTTGATTTAGCCATAACATCTTCTATTTTGAGTTGAAGTTTAGGAGATACGTAAGCCACTAGAACAAAACACGAATTAAAAAATAGACGAAATGTTAAGTAATATTGAGTTATACACCGATTACATTAGGGTTTACTAGTAAACACGATACTAATACAAAATAGTATTACCCAAACACAACAGTATGGAACTGCCACTATCGATTTTTCGTATCATCTCAACTCATTTTATATATCACCTCTCTAGTGTAAGTAGACCCCGTAAATGTGACATATAGATGTCACCTCGATTAGCTAAAAAGATAACACAATAGATAGAAATAGAAGCACTTCTACTTCTGCCTGGATTTCGCATTCAATGCCTAATTATTTTTGGTCAAATACTGTGTTTATAGCTTGGGATTTCCATTTATCGTTTATATAAAATCCTTCATATGTTGAACACAAGTTAAGTAAACAAATAAAAAATAAAAAATGCTGCCTTATCAGAGCCTTGAAGAAGCAGACGAAGCCCTTGGCAGAGCTCTAAGTGTTGCAGAGAAGCTATGGTTTCAATACTCAGCTCAGAAACCTGATTTCATCCTCCATTGCCATAACATTCTCTTCGTGATGTTGTTCTACACCTTAGCTCCTCTTCCGTTCGTGTTCATAGGGCTTGGCTGGTTCAAGAACATGGACAAGTTCAAGATTCAACCGAAAGTTGACGACTGTTTCTCTAACATGTTCAAGTGCTATAAACATGTCATGCGCACCTTTGTTCTTGTCGTTGGTCCGCTGCAAGTCATTTCATACCCCACCATCCAGGTATTTACTTATAGCAGCTTTAAGCTTAAAACTCCAAAAAAGATGAGGCAAAACAAAAAAAGAAATGGGAAAATTGGGTTATGGATTTTTTTTTTTCATACTCACAAAGTTGATTTTTATTTGTTAAATGAATTTTGTTCCAAGCAATTGCTTGCTTAGTTCATCAATTTTTATTTCGACATTTTGAAATCTAATGTTACCTCTAAAGAAAATTTATTATTTAAACAAAATTTCCTCTAAAACTGTTTTTATAGCTTGGGATTTCCTTTTATCTTCTATATAAAATCCTTCACATATTGAACACAAGTTAAGTAAACCAAAAAAAAAAAAAAAAAAAAATGCTGCCTTATCAGAGCCTTGAAGAAGCAGAGGAAGCCCTTGGCAGAGCTCTAAGTGTTGCAGAGAAGCTATGGTTTCAATACTCAGGTCAGAAACCTGATTTCATCCTCCACAGCCATAATATTCTCTTCGCGATGTTGTTCTACACATTAGCTCCTCTGCCGTACGTGTTCATAGGGCTTGGCTGGTTCAAGAACATGGACAAGTTCAAGATTCAACCGAAAGTTAACGACTGTTTCTCTGACATGTTCAAGTGCTATAAACATGTCATGCGCACCTTTTTTCTTGTCGTTGGTCCAATGCAAGTCATTTCATACCCCACCATCAAGGTATTTACTTATAGCAGCTTTAAGCTTAAAACTCCAAAAAAGATGAAGAAAAAAAAAAAGGAAATGGGAAAGTTGGGTTATGGAATTTTGTTTCATTTCACATTTAAAAGTCATTTTTACAAAGAGAACTAAGGGGCTGTTTGGTAACGTTTTCAAGACCCCGTTTTTATTTTCTACTAGAAACACGTTCAGTATGTCGTTTTCATTTTCATTAGAATTCATTTTCTGAAAACAAATTCAAACTCATGTACAAAAACTGAAAACACCAAATTATTGTTTTCACTTTCTACGAGGTGTATTGGTCTGATTGCTTCTTCTTCCTTTTTTTTTTGTTGGTCTGATTTTTAATTTTTAATTTTTTTCTTTTTACAAAGGAAACTAAAGTAAAAGGAGGAGATAGTTGCTAATATTGGAGCTACAAGCCCTCACAAAGTTGGGGTTGGGTTGTGGTTTTTTATTTTATTTATTTGATTTATTTATTGTTAAAGGCTTAAGCCACCTTGCTCGAAGAAACTAATTCTTAAATTTAGGGAAGGAAGGCTTGAAGCCACCATATTTGAAGAAGTAATTTCTTACCAAAGTTGGTTTTTATTTGTTAAATGCTTTAAAGACTTAAAGCCACTATTCATATCCAAACAATTGCTTGCCACTAAAGATAATTTATTATTAAAAATAATAATTTATATATATATATATATATATATATTTCTCTTCTTCCTCTAGCATGACCAGATGACATGATCCTTTGATCAGACCATAATGGCTGGCCATGCCACCTCTATTTTGTTGAATTGAATGTTGTTGCAGTGGATAGGGATTCGGACGAGTCTGCCATTACCATTCTTGTCGGAAGTATTTTGGCAAATAGTGGTGTATTTTATTATAGAGGATTTTTCACATTATTGGGTCCACCGGATGCTCCATACAAAATGGGCCTACAAAAAGATCCATCGGGTCCACCACGAATACACTGCTCCAATTGGGCTTGCAGCACCATATGCCCATTGGGCTGAGATTTTGATTCTGGGCCTTCCATCATTTCTCGCCCCAGTATTGGTTCCGGGGCATATTGTCACGTACTGGTTGTGGTTCATTTTGCGGCAATTGGAGGCCATTGAGACTCATAGCGGGTAAGTAAGCTAACCTTTTTGTTATTTATGCTACTGGATAGAGCAGTTATCTTCGCACCTGAAATTTAATAGGGCATGTTATTAGATCCTAATGCAGTATGACAAAATACCGAACAATTCGATTTTTTCCTTACCAACAATAAATAACGTACGTATGTATACGATATAGGTACTTGTTACCTTGGACTCCAACAAAATACATCCCATTTTATGGTGGTGCAGAGTACCATGACTACCATCACTTTGTTGGGGAGCAGAGTAAACGCAACTTTGCATCGATTTTCACTTATTGCTATTACATTTATGGAACCAACAAGGTTAAAGATGATTTCTTTCTTTCATGTTTAGCTTTGACTATTATCTTATTTTGTTTGACTTGAAAATGAAACAGTTAAAATTGTGTAGCACTAATGCAACAATTCTGTAAATCTTCAGGGATATCGATCTCACAAACAAGTCCTTGAGAAGGTGAAAAGTCTCTAAGACCCTTCTGCATCAAAGTGACGATGTTTTGTAATTCTGTTTGCAAAAGAAATGTTGGTGGTATTATGTCATGAAACTTTTACATATTATAAGCTACAACAGCGGAGATGTAACCTATTTCATATCAATAAAGCATCTATATTTCAAATAGCTTGACGTGAATTGATTTCCAAAGTTTACAGGGAAGGGGGTAAAAGCTAAAAAGAAATTAGAACTTTCGGTGAAAAGGCACTTTCTGTACATGAAAGGGAAAACTCAAACCAATCAATTGGTCCAGTTCCTTGTGCAACATTAATTTATCATCACCAAAATCTCTGAAATCCAAGTATACCGTGAAACAACGCTTTTCTTTTTCTTTTTTTCTTCTTCTCGGTATGAATGCTCTAACAAGTTCAACGATCTACCTTTCAACTGCCACGAGAAGAGGCTTTCATGAAGTTGTTAGAACTACTTAACCTAGGGCCTAGAACTTACAAAACATTTCTCATGCCGTTGCCAACCAGGTCAGATCAAGAGCTCCTACATGCCTCGCATGAGCTCGTTACGCACCTACAAAATTCCTTTATGGTGCAGGGAGAGATGGAGCAGCCCACAGTTTTACCTTCTTATCGATACTTGATGTGGCCAAAACCAATACTTTCTCATCACCTATAGAGAGGACAACACAATGTTATTATCTTCGAAGCAACAATGAAAATAAATAATTCCAGCCAGATTGTATTTAATTGGATAGTCTTGAGTATTTAATCTCTCCAAGTTCCAATGAATCAACAATCTTATCCTCGATGTCACACTATTAATTCGACTGTCCAAGTTTTTGGTCAAAAATTGGACTGTACAAGCTGGGTGGCATATATTTACACATTTAACAAAATAAATTCCCTTGGAAAATTGTCTTTCATTGTGCCAAACTTGTCAACAGTGGAGTGATAAAGATGTATAAAACCTACTTAGAAGACAACTTAAAACATTTAAGAGAAGTGTTTTACCCATTGGAATCGTCTTGGGTGCCCATGCAATGCATGTGATGTCACCTGCATGAAAAAGAAAGATTAAAGAAGATTCACAATGAAACTATCTTTGCGATAACAATCCAAAGCTCCACGACAGTCTGAATAGCAGTTATATTATAGAAGCTAAGGAACCATTACTAGGCCATAGGAACCATAATAGATTGGGTGTCAAAATATAGAAGCTAAGTGTTAATTATAAATTAGCTAATATGGTATTAGAGAACCACAAAGGTACATGGAAATGATAAAGATAAAGAATAAAAAAACTCAACACTCAAGCATACCTTCATGGGCTTTGTCAGCTGTGTCCAAAAGCTTTCCAGTTTCAACACATAGCCACTGTATTGTTGTACCATGAGTTGCTGCCAATATTTTTCCATCAGGAGATAAACTAAGACGATCATACTGCACAGTTGCACCACCCAAATCAAGTGGAATTGGAAACACCTTCAGAGTTTTCGGATCCTCATCCATATGATATCGAACTTTGAGAGAACAGACAACAAGAAGGTTAGTATGGCAAATTAAAAATACCAACTCAATCTATCAGAAACAAACCCACACCCATAAATCTAAGCAATTTTTGTAAGTGCCATGCAGATGAATAGTTACATTTAGTATAGAACCAATTCAGGGACCATTGCTCCAAATTAGCCGAAGAAAAAAAAAAATCCATAATATTATATAACTCAACTGCAAGACCGACCATATTAAGTAACATAATTAATGGAAGTGTGTTCTTTAAATTTGAGCATATATGGCAACAAGAAACTGGTGCAAAACACGACTCAATTTTTATTTTTATTCAGTTGAATTACTATGTCTTTCTGTATTACTGTGTTGATAAGGCAGTTGATATATACTCCATGTGTCAGACTAAGATTACATGGGTATATGGAGGGAGGAGGCTGTTTTTGCAATGAGCTGTTATACATGACAAAGACAGCAAATATGCAGAGCATAATCTTACTAAGTTATACATACCATTGATATTCCAGATTCTTATTGAACCATCTTTGGATGCTGTGATAATTTGTTCTGAGTTAGGAGTAAAGCATAACCAAGTTACTGCACTCTGAAAAACAACCAGATGACATTAAGATATAGCACATACAATCAAGCATCAGTCAAAGAATTGCTGATAAAAAAGAGAATCAGAAGTTGTACAGCTCAAAGAATTCAAATATACTGATTATTAAAAAAGTTAAGAAATTGTTATTTGCACTCCAAAAGTAGCTTTATGCACTCCTTATATGTGAGTGCAAGGACTGTGGGAAGCTACATTCGGAGTGAATATATTATCTTCTGAAGAAAATAAAACTAGAAAAAGATTTTGCATGTTTAAAAACAGACAAAACATCGAAAAATATAGTTCACTGAAGAAATGGGACAACAACGCATACTAAACATTTAACCTTTTTTTTTTTCTTCCGGTAAATGCTAAACATTTAACTTGATCTCGATTAGTTTAAAAAATATAATGGAGTCAACAGAGAGGTTTTGTGAATACATGCATTAAATCAGATTATGTAATTGCATTGTACATAAAACATATAAGAAACCTTATGCCCTTTAAGTTGCATAGCTTTTGAGACCTCCTTGACTGAACCATCCTTTGAATATACAATCTCCCACACCTGCCAAGAAAATTTGAGATGTTAACAAGCCTAATTTAATTGTATACCATAAAGCACCTTATAGCTCTAACATGCCAAGTAACAGCGAAGTTGATTACGGTATCCAGAAAGTTACTGATGCAGACACAGGTACAGAACTTCTAACATTTTGGAACTTTGTTTACATACCCCATATTTCTGGTGGACTTTGACTCAATTAATAGAAAAATTATAGATAATTACCTTCACGTCTGCAGTAAAAGCTGCTGCAGCAAGGAAACGCCCATTTGGTGATAAAGCAGCCATGGTGTTTTTCAACTGATTTGTGTCAACATGCCCCAAAATCTTGCCGGTTTTCCCATGCCAAAGTATGATGTCAGTTCCTAAAGGTAACAAAATATAAGAACCACAAGGAATGGACATTCTATCAAGGGCAACTGTGCAGAAATATCCAGTATTCATATTGAGATCATAATCTTGATGGTCCATGGGCAATGTGAAATTCTAGTATGAATCTTGGATGGGGGCATGGGATATCGGGCCAAAAAAAAAAACAGTATGAAGATTGAGATGACAATCTGGCTGGAACATTGAAAGATAATGCATTGCATTTATTGGTGATATAATCCTCAAAGAAATATCCTCATTTAAGTAATTGAGGTACGAACATACATACACGTAGATGGGACCTCTTGAAACTATTAAGACGAAGAGGGCCAACCTGGTTAAGCATAGCTGCATACTCATTGAAATGAAAAAGGAAAGGGGTACCACTGATTCCTTGCTACAACTGTAACCATAAAGGTTATTTCAGTCTACATGTATGACAGCCAGAGACAGAGAGAACTAAAGATAGATCGGTGAGTTGAGGGAATGAGAAATGCTGCGACAGAGAAGTAAGAGCCAGACAATGGCATTGTAACAATGATGCTGAGAGTGGTTGAGAATTGAGAGAGGGGAAACTGCAAGAAAGGTAGGAAGCAGCTGAAGGGTGGAAATTGTGAGGGAAAGGCCAAAGGAGGAGAGAAGGTGAGGTTGTGACTTGAGAGGCAGGAGAAGGTGCCATAGATAGTAAAAATGAAAAGAGTAAAGTAGGTTTAGAGAGTTTAAGGTTAAGGCACTGATTCAGAGTAGGGGAGTGTATGGTAAAGGAATAGGAAAAACATTTTGAAGCATAACTTGAAATTTTTAAAAGCATTCACTTTGGGTTCAGTTTGTGGAGTTCAAATTTATTTATTTTTTTAAACCTGAAACCTGAACCGATCTTATTGGATTTAATGGTACACCTTATTCAACTCTTTAAAGGCTAGGAACCAAATTTCTGAGCAACCACTTTCTAGCATCACAAGATTTCAAAAACCATTAATTAAATCAGTCAAGGAAACTCGAATCGTTATCCTTTCAATAGACAATTATTTAAGTGTCATTAAGTAACATAAAGTGAGGAACATGTTGAATAAAAGCATGTGTGCAATTTCTATTGCAGGGTAAGAAAATAAGAAGATACCTTCTGAGCATGAAGCAACAATTGTACTCCCATCAGCACTCCCATAACTTGCGGTGGTCCCAGATAAGGTGAGAATACCTAATTTCTCGTGAACTTTGTGATTTTCCCACTTGATTTCAGGCAGGGGAAGCTTGGGCTGCTGCTTTACTTCCTCAGAAGGTTTGGGTTTTTCCACCCCATACATGTACAAAGAAGAACCGGAAAGACTTTGAGAAGCCGCTACTAAAGATAATCCATCATCAGAAAATGAAACTGCAACAGGATGACCTCCAACAGGCAAATTAATTCTCAGAAACCTGTTGAAAATGTTGCAGAATTTGATAAATGAAAAGCAACGGAACTAATGAGCATAACTAACATTGCAGTGTTATCTGGTAAGTGGTAATGTACAAAGGGTAATTGAAATTCGTACTTGAAACTTTTACTCGAAGCATCATCCAACTTGAATACCCTGAGCACTCCATCCGCACAAGCTGTTTGTAAGAGTAGGAAATTGTAAGTAATTGAGATATAAGCACAAATCACAATCAAAGCCATCCACCACAGTATGCAAGTATATAACACATATGTTGTTGCAAACTGATTGACTTCTCAAGCAGGAAAAGGATCCATGAACTGAGTAGCTTGCTACGGTTTGAATTATTATTATTTTTTTATCACGATTCACAACTATTTTATTACTTGGTGAATTCATGCCAACTATATTCAACACAAACTTTTCGCAAGGCACTCGCGTACACAAAGACACAAACAAGTAAGAATACACGATTCTAGATCATCCAAAAACAGCAACATGTTTCTAATATTGAGGTCTGCATCTCAGTCTAATACTAGAAAACGTCCTATTGATCCTCTA